ACTTCCGGTTTTCTAGTGGTTTATTGGAGATAAGAGTCTCACGGACTTTCCTGCCCAGGTTGGCTTTGAACTGCGATCCTCAGATCTCAGCCTCCTGAATAGCTAGGATTACAGGTGTGAGCCACCAGCTACCAGTAGTAGAGTGCTCACCTTGAGCCTAAGAGCAGAGGAACAGTGCCCATGACTGACAAAAAAAGAGAAAAGAAAAAAGAAAAGAACATAAATGGTTGATGATGCTGGGGCTGAAGGGGTGGCTCAGGTGGTACAGTGCCTGCCCATTGAGCAAGGTCCTGAGTTTAAACCCCAGTACTGCCAAAAAATATAAAATAAAACCAAATAAAGCAAATTTTGGAAGCTTAGAAAATACATTACTTGAGTTGCAATTCATTTTGTTATTAATAAAGCTAGTCTAAGTCTTGATGAATAAGATCACTACTAGCTTATTACATGTCTATACAGCACAAAGTAATACGAGTCCATATACTCTCATTATGTCTTTCTCTCTAACAGTCCATTCGTATTATGGAGCTGACTTTACAGAAGTATGGAAGCTATGAGAAATTTGAACAAGCCACGGGTGGTAGCTTGCTGTCTAAGCCTCGGATCTGGAGTCATGTTAGGAAGTACATGCTGAAGGAGGGCTGCTTGGGAGAGGTAGGGTATGTGCGCACGCACGCACGAACTTGGAGCCTGCCGTGTCCTTTTCACTCTGCCATGTCGTACAGGCTTTGCCCCACAGCTGGCCTTTTCCTAACCCTGGTATACTCATTCAGTTAGTCATCACATTTCTTATAAAACACTCTGAGGTCTCCTTGTACTTGAATAATCTTGATATGTTCAGTTTCTTTCTATCTTTTGACTTGGCTTATTGCTACTCCTATACAGCTTGGGGGATTATGTGAATTACTTTATGAAAATTGTCAGTAATTAAGTCAGATGCTGTGATTTGTGCCTAAAATCCCAGATCTTGGGAGGCTGAGGGAGGAAGAAAATGAGTTTGAGGGGAGGGGAAAGGAAGGAAGGGAAAGGAGGGAGAGTCAAAGGGGAAAAGTGAGAGGGGAAGTGGAAAGGAGAGAAAGAGTGAGGAGAGGAAGGAAAAAAGGAAGGGAGGGAGGGAAGGAAAAGGAAGGGAAGGCAAGGAAGTTGATGAAAAAGTTGCTCCAGTGGCCTGTTTTTATTAGTAATCATTCTTAGAAGTCAATCTCAGAGCCTTGGCACTGGCATGGTGCAGAATTCTGTTTCCATGTCCTTTTCTTTTCCTCTCTTTTTCCATCATTAGATCTAGGAATTTTATGGCAGAAATACAGTTTTAAGCTGTCTTCCTCAGTACAACCATCTGTTTTCTTCAATCCAATATCCAGTTAATGGCTCTTGAATTACCAAAGATAAAAATTGAGACTCCAAAGAGTCGAGGTACCTGTAAAAGAACAAAAGTCTTAATTTATGTGCATAGTGATTTTTGTGAAAGCTTTTCCCCCCATGCCTTTACATTTTGTTTTGGGTGCATGTTCCCTCTTATTCCTTAGATTGTAGTACATCTCACTGAAGATCTACTTTCACGAGCCTCGATGACAGTAGTAAATGGATGTCCAACTCTGACCATCAATGTTTCAACGGCCCGTGAGCACTGGCTGGAAGGAATGCTGAGGCATGAGATAGGTAGGGACAGCCCTTTCTGTTTGCTCATTTATAGTGTCAGGAATTACCCCCAAAGAAATGTTCTTTAGAATAGCTTAAAAAAAAAGTTACCTGGACCAAAGGTCATAGATGTCTTTGTGGAGTAGATTTATTTTGGTAGTTCTGAGGTTTGAACTCATGGCTTAGGCCTTGCTAGGGAGGCCACTCTCCTTCTTGAGCCCTGCTCTCAGCCCTGTTTGCTCAGCAGTCCTCCTCCTTAAGCTTCCCTTCATAGCTGGGGACAGATGCATACCACCAGACCTAACTTGGTCTGCTCACTGGTTTGCAGATTTCCATCCATGAAGGGTTTGCCCATTGCTTTTGGGCCTGTGGTGTGGAAGCACATCATAGTAGGAGCATGTGGCTAACCAAAACCATAACTCAATAATGAGTCCAAAGCGAGAAAGAAGAAGGATCTGGGGTCCCCCTGTCCCACTCAAGAACATATCCTCCCTGATTTCACTGTATTTGATGTTGGTATAATTTGTAGAGGGGAAGGGAAAAAAACAAATTGTTTAAGTAGGGATACAGGTGGACCCATTGCAACAATGAGATGTACAAGTCGTTATGTCGAAAAATGAACTTTACAACTTTGGTGGGGGGGGATCAGGTTGGGGGGCAATGGGGGATATGGGAAGGGGAAACAAAGGAGGAGGCAACAATGCTTGATAAGAAATGTACTCATTATCTTGCCCATGTAATTGTAACCCCTCTGTACAGTATTTTCA